CTCGGGGTCGCCTGCAGGCGTGTGCCGCAATGCGCGTGGGGCGCCGAGCACAGGAGAAGTCACCAATGTTCAGTTTAGATTCAAGTCGGGTATGTCCCTCCACAGGAGGAGCCTTCCAACATGTTCAAAACTAGTCAGGGGACGATTTTTTCGACTGGTTTGGTTGTTGCTGAGTTTGTTGATTATCTTACAGTTTCCTCCAACATCCGCCTGAAGGAGGACATGCCCGACCTAAGTTTTGATATTAGTTTCACCCCTATGGCCTCTGAAAAGCAGTGCGCTGTCAGAGGTTGTGCTCTTTGGGGAAGCATGTCCTCCTTCTCCTCCTCCCTCTCCTTCAGCGCGCACTTCAGCGCGCACTTCGAGGCGCGTCCCCCTGGCAGCCTTTTCCCCAGTACAGGATGGGAGTAGGCAGCCCTCAGTCGACAAGGACTCAGCGTTCCGCTCATATCTGCGTCCCACCACTTCTCCTGTTCCTCCTCCCTCATTGGCACCCCGTTGAGCACAGTGTGATCCTCCAGAACCCCCCCGTGCAGCTCCTGAGAGTACTCGGGGCCAGTTGGGACCCCTCATGGACCCCTGGTCTCCTGGAGCCTCGCCCCCCGTGTTTTCTGGCCCCCTTCTCCCTGCCCACTCCCCCTCCTCCCTGCCCCCTTGGAGAGGCCGACGGAGCCTTTCAGGACCTCTCCTGGTGCCCCCGCCTCCAGGGCCTTCAGGACCTCCAACCCCCCAGCCCTCCAAGGTTGCATTTTGTGGAGTTCGTAGGCCCCCGAAGCTCTCCAGCCCCTCCCCAGGGACGGTGTCCTCGTCGCGGGCCGTTCAGACGACCCCGGGCCCGGAACGGGCCGCCAGGGGCCCAGTCGGGGCGCGCGTGACGGGGCTCAGCGCCGACGGGGGTCAGCCAGAGTGCCGGATCCCGCAGGATCCTGCAGAGCTGGAGCTCGGCCGAGCCGAGCTGGGGAGCCGCTCGCGGCCCTGGAGGTGCAAAAAGTTGCAGAGCATCTCCTCCTCCTCCTCCTCCTCCTCCTCCTCCTCCTCCTCCTCCTCCTCCTACTCCTCCTTCTTTGAAAATTGACCGAGCCGGGTCTGCGCCGAGCCGGGTGCGGGAGCGCCTGGCCCAGATCTACAAAGCAGGCCCTCGTTCTTGCTCGAACGGGGGCCGCAGCACCGGCGCACAGCTCTCCACGAAATGAGCGCCTGGCCCTGCTTCCAGGGACCCGATGTCGGGATTTTTTCAGTGCGCGGTCCCCGGAAGTTTCGACCCGTTCCCCAGGACCAGTTTCTCATCCAGAACTGTTTTTTGACAGTCCGGGGACCCGGCGGGGGCCATTGGAGGTCGAAAACTGCCTCAGACTTCGGTCTTGTGTTTTCCAATGCGTTGGATCTCTGGGTTCAGTGCCCTCTCCGCGCCTGCCTCCCTCTCTCCCCGCCCCCTCGGTGCCAGTCTGCGTGTGCGCCCTGCGCGGAGCGGGCGCCCGCACGCGAACCCGTGGGCCTCGGGCCAGCACGCGGGTCGGCTGCTGCTAGAGAAGTGCCCCCGGCCCAGGGTGCCCCTGGGGCTTCGGAGCAGGCCCCCAGGGCTTGCAGAGCACCCCGTCACGAGGCCCAGAGGGCTCCAGGGGCTCCCACAAAATTGAGATGGAGCCGAAAGCTGGGGGCACCTTGGGCCACGGGCACCTCCAGCAACCCCCGAACAAGGAAGCCACGCCAAGCCGAGCCGAACCGTTGGCCCTGGGCCCCCGCCTCTGCCCGAAGCCTACGGCTCCCCGCACCTCGCCTCGACGGCCAGCGCCGCGACGGCCGTCGCTTGCGCACGGGTCCCGGCTCGAAGAGTAAGACGGCACAAGCAGAACGTCTCGGAGGTCAGTATCGTATAACCGATCCCCATCCCCATCCTCATCCCCTTCGAGACCCCCACCAAATTCCCCATCTACGTAGGGGGGTGAATCGGCCAGTGGGGCCCAGGCCACGCCGCTGGGGATGGGGATCGGTTCAACGATACTCAGGAGGTCCGCGCGCATGACTCGGCTCGTCGCCGATCCCAGACATCCGCGCGGACCGTCGAAAGTTTGTGTTCGTGCCGTTTTCCTCTTGGTCCATCGATGCCTGGAGCTCGAGCAGGGGGGAGCCAGTCCGAACCGTGGGGGTCCGAGCGCCGGCCCCTGTCGGAAGCGTGCAGCAAGCGGCGCCGCGTGCAGCCTCCCAGCGTCAGGGCGCTGGGCACGAGGGCCTCTGCGGGCTTGGGAGGGCTCTGGCTCTCGGCCGCTGCTTTCCGCGGCGAGCCCAGGGGGAAGCGAGAGGGGGCATGATGGGCTTGATTTCCACCACCACCACCATAAGTTGGAGGGAGAGGGGGTCCTCTTCCTCCTACTCCTCCTCCTCCTCCTCCTCCTCTTCGTCCTCCTCTTCCTCGTCCTCCTCCTTCCCCCCTCCAAGTTACGGTGGCGGTGATGGAAAACACGCCCATCCTGGCATGCCCTCTCAGCAGGCGGCGGGGCATCTCAGAAACCTCGCCGCCTTCCGAGAAGGGCTGCCCCGTCTCACTTCTCCCCGAGCTCACCGCGGATCCTCATATCAAGCCTACGTGCCACCAAAGCTCGCCTTGGCCAGAAGAGCCACTTCGTTCCTTATCCGGCGTTCCTCTCGGTAACACGGCGACGATGACTGTACCTCCGCTGCCCGTCGATTTGGGCCATCAGGGTTTCACCAGCGGGGGCTCGCTTCGCTGGTGGCCGCTCGCATCTTTGACCCTCGCCAGTGACCTCCTGCTGGTACAATTCTGTGGGCAGTGCAACCAAGAAGCTGAGACAAGGACCACCTTCTGTCAGAAGGGGTTATGGTATTTGGGCCGTTCCTCAGATCTGGGCCGGGGGCACCTATTCGTCCACATTTTGGCTGTGCCCGTGCTGCAGTGCGCAGCACAGTCGTAGCATCCATTCGTTCAGCCCGCCTCACCGAGGTCTCACCTCGCGTCCAGCCTGATGCTTCAGGCCGCGGTGGGTGGGGGGATGGCTTGGCGAGGTGGGCGACTGCAGAGCGCCGTACTCTGACGCAACTGCACGGTACAGTTTGTAGAAGCAGCGGCAAGGACAAGAGGAACAGGAGCAGGAACATGAAAAAAGACAAGGATTGGGTGGTGGAGGAGGAGGTAAAAAGGAGGATGACGAGGAGGTGCTAGCCCCAGTGGTCGTGTGGCGCCGGCGAGTTGGAGTCTCTCGGTGCTTCCTTCTTCTCCTCTTCCTCCTCCTCCTCCTCTTCCTCCTGCTCGGCTGCTTTCGTTCCTTGGCTGCCCTCCTTTCCCCCAGCTGCTCTCGCTTTTCCTGCCTCTTCGGTGGCCCTGCTTCCCCCGGGTGCCCCTGCTGCGCCCGCGTGGCCTTCTGCTGCTCCCGAGGCCTCTGCTGCGCCCGCGTGGCCTTGTGCTGCTTGCGTGTCCTCCGCTGCGCCCGCGTGGCCTTCTGCTGCTTCTGTGGCCTTTGCCGCTCCCGCCTCCTCTGTCGCTGCCGCGTCGGCCTCTTTGCTGCCGTCGCGTCTTCTGCTGCTCCCGCGTCTTCTGCTGCTCACGCGCCCCTGCGGCTCTTTCTTTTTCAGTTTTTTTTGTTTGTTTGTTTTGGTTTGGTTTGTTTTGTTTTGTTGTGTTTTGTTTTGTTATGCTATGTTTTGTTTTCTTTTGTGTTGTTTTGTTTTGTATTGTATTGTTTTGTTTGTTTGCCTGTTTGTTTGTTTGTTTGTTTGTTTGTTTGTTTGTTTGTTTGTTTGTTTGTTTGTTTGTTTGTTGTGTGTGTGTGTGTGTGTGTGTGTGCGTGTTTGCTGGTGTGCGTGCATGTATCTTTGTTTTCGTTTTGTTGTGCATGTATGCAGTTTATTTGTGTTTTTGTTTGAAGGGTATTCAGCTTTCCAGAGTATTCTGCTTCTGGTGTAATGTCCCAACTTTTGCGATCTGATTCACGGTGCTATCGCTTATGCTAGTTCGGTTAGTATGCGTTCATCCCATTTCATGCTTCAGTTTCCGCCAATCGGCACATGACCATCGTTGGATCGATTTGACAAGTCTATCTGCTCCGAGCTGCTCATGATGTTTAGGATCGCCCACTTTGCTGCCAGGGTCACCTTGTGCAACACATGTTGCCGTTTACCGTGATCATTACCATCTGGTCGAACCTGCCAGCCTCCACCGACAATCACCGACTTCGGCACGGTGCCGCGCTGGCGCAACGGACACGCTTTTTATGGATGTGTCCACACCATCCCCCTCCGGGCTTGGAATTCCATGTGGGACCTGCTATAAAGCATGAGCATATCGAAGACGGATCTACAGTCGAAGCTCATAGCAAAGACGAACGGAAGTCCTTAGGGTACCCTTGCGTCGTTGCTTCTGCGGCCCGTCCTTAGCGGTTTTCATTGGCCAGCCTTTCAGGGTGTTGGCAGCCCGCCGCCCCAAAGGTGCCAGCTTCGGCGTCCAGGGTCCTTGCGTCCTGGGCGTTCGCTGTGGGAATGAGCGCCTCCAGCTCATTGAATTGCAGTTGTGTCCTCCAACGTTTGCCTATGTGCTTGAACATACAGAGAGGGGTGCGATGTCCGTACCCATCTTGGCTCAAGCCGTACGTCCCTCACAGCCCCTCTCTGTCAATCCCAATCACCTACCATTCCATCCTACCCTTCCTCCGATATCCTGGCTGGCAGCGGCTGGTGGCCTTGGGACATTGCTCGGACGGGCTCGAGAAAGAGGCAACATCTCATCCTGAGCTGACATCCTGGGGAGACAGTGGTAGCGGAGAGTCGGTACGACCGGCGCTCAGTCGACTTTCTGCGGACCGATGCCAGCGGACGAGGAGGGTGCTGATAACCAATCTCGAGGATCCGAACATAGTGGCCAAGGGCCGGTGGCAACAGCTATTGGGACAGCGAGACAATGGGCAGACGAGGACGGACGCATCAGGCTCTCAGAAGAGCAACTACGAGGCCTGCTTGAGAGTGCACGACAACCTGAACGGACTGCTGAGCAGTACCGCATCTCAAACCCGCTCTCGGAAACGCAGCTGAAGCAGATCGTCACCTACGTCCGTAGCCAAGCTCAACAGCCTAGTCCAGAGCCAGAGGCGGACGAACGGCGAGCAGAGGGCAACGCACACCAAGAGGACGAATGGCAGCGAGATGGCACGGACCCGTGGGCCAGGGACAGAGCCGCAGCCGGCTCAGCGTCCAGCAGGGCCCCCGAGCGAGCTGACCAGGATCGCTGGTGGCAGGGCCGCTGGAATTGGAGTGAAGCCCAGAACGACGGCAACTGGAAGTGGGACGACTCCAAGGACGGCCGCTGGAACTGGAAAGAAAAGGGTCGCGACTTCGCGGACCCTGACCCATGGGCCGGATGGCCAGAGTACAAGCTATGGCGACGGAAGATCATGAGGTGGCGCCAGAGCACAGACGTCGGTGAGACCAAGCACGCCGATCGTATCCTGAAGGCGCTGCCCATGGACCTCCAGAGAAAGCTAGAGGACATTCCAGACGAGGTTCTCATGTCGTGGGAAGGCGCTCAGAAGGTGATCGACCGTCTGGACCTCCTGAGCGGAGAGCGCGTCGGAGACGAGGAGCGCAAGGCCGCGAGGGAGTGCCTCTTCTCCTTCCAGAGACGGCAAGGCGAGGGTCTGACAGAGTACGCCGCGAGAATAGACCTGGCCTTCGACCGAGTCGGCACATTGGGCTTGCCCGTGCCAGAAGACTGGAAGTTCATGTTCTTGGAAGAGGGCGTGGGACTCGACGAGCGCGGCCAACAGTTGATGAAGGTTCTCATGGTCACGAAGGACTCGTATCTCGACGCTCTCAAGGCCATCCGAGAGATGGGCGCGACGAGAAAGCAGCATCTTGCCCACCAGAGGGCACGAACATATCATACATATCGAAGAGCCGCGTCATCGTGGACATCACAATGGACGAACAATGAGCCCAGCTACTCCGTGGAGGACGACGAGGACGACTCGATGGTGGACTACGACGATGTCTCGTCTCTCAACACCGAGGGAGAGACCGAGATATACCTGGCCATCGAGAACTTGAATTTATACGACGACGAGCTTCCGGCGGTATTCGCCAGTTTGCAGGAGGACAGACGGAAATTGTGGAAGCAGAACAGGGAGCTCAAGCGAAAGATGAAGGTCGATCGCAGGTTCTTCGACAGGACGAAGGAGACCGTCAAGGTGTCGACCTCGCGAGAGAATAGAGGTCATAGAGGAGCAGATGGCACTTTCCGTCAGAGAAAGACTAGGCTTCCGCTCTTAGAGCTCATCAAGAAGACCAGGTGCAGGAAGTGCAACGAGAAGGGCCACTGGGCGCGTGAGTGTCCCAAGCGGAATGGCCAGAGTCTCAGTGCCAGTGCAGCCGCAGGAGGGGTCCCGAACGTCGCGGGCTTCGTCTTCGCGAACGTACTGGATCCTGTCGTGTCGGAGACGGAGCAGATCGAGAGGGACCAGGCCGCGCAGGCGATGGTGCTGCTCACGGTGGGGGCCGGCGAGGCAGTGGTGGGCACCGCCGCCGGCCAGGGCCTGATTGGGGCCCAGGCACTCGAGCGGCACTCCCAGAGCTGAAAAAAGCTAGGCCTGAAGATTCCTTTAGTAGAACCTAGGAACAGGAATGCCAGAGGAGTAGGAGGTGGCACTAGGGTCTTGCACGCGGCCCTGGTCCCGACGGGACTCCAGGGCAAAGAAGGTATAGTAGAGCTAGACGTTTTGCAGGAAGACGCGCCCCCTTGCTTCCAGTAGGCCTCCAGGAGATGCTAGGTTCCAAGGTAGATCTCGACAATAATGTTATCAGTTTAAGGCGCTTGGGCGTGGGGGCTCCGATGAGGAGGATGCCCGGCGGCCACGGGACAATTCGAGTAGACGAGTTCCAATCCCCCCCGAGCTTCAGGTGTCCAGCTTCTCTGTTTCAGCAGCATCCCGGACTCAAGGAGAGCGATTTTCAGTGTGACAGCACTGTTGGGGCATGCAAGGCCTCGACCATCGTCGATCCTCCCTCTCACTTCTTCTACTTTTCCTCCTCTCAGAGGGCCGAATTACCCAGCTACGACGGTCTCGGGGAAAGGTTGGGGCTCGGTCTGGGGGTCTGTCTGGGGACCAGAAGGCCCCGCGGCGGTCGCGACGCGCCGACCAGGGCCAGTGAGCCCGGAATAGACCCAGGGAATCGTTCCGAAGACGGCGTCGCGATGGGGCTTAGCCAGCCCGGATCGCCAGCTAAGGGATCCAGACACTCAGGGGCGAGAAGACGCCAGGGGAGATATCGCGACGACGCCTTCGGAGCGATGGTGAGCGGGGCCCTCCTCCGGAAGAATCTCATCCACATGTGGGCGGTGACTTTCATTGCAGTGAGTCTCATGCTGCAGCGGTTCGGCTGGAGCTTTCGAGCTTCAGAGAGGAGCGCATTTCATTCGCGGCAGGGGCTGCAGCCACCAGGCCTGCCGCAGTTTAGAGATGCCCAGTGCTCCTTCAGTCGGCAGCGTCAATGCCGGCCAGCCGTCGGGGAGGAAGAAGAAGCAGCAGACCGAGGCCCAGCGTCGAGCTCAACGGCCATTGACTTTGGTCGACCACCTGATGGACCCGAGCTCCACGTGGACGTACGCGGTCACCGGGGCGCAGATCCCGTCCAACCTGAACCGCAAGGAGAAGGGGTGGGCGGCCATCGTCGGCAGCATCGTGTTCTGGCTCAACAAGCTCGCCGACGAGTTCGGGCGCATGATGCTCGACAAAAGGTTCTGGCCCACGAGCCTGATCAGGCGCTTGCGGGTGATCCCGGACGCGTTCTACACGTGCCGACACTCTCCCACCAGCGTCGAGTACGGGTGCAATTGGCAAGGACAGTGGTGGGTCTGTTCATCATGCACTATGCGGGTCGCCTGCCGCGAGGTCAAGCCCGAGAAAGGCAAGCCGAAGGTCGACGTTTCGTGCGTCTGCAAGCGCACGACGGCCGCGTGCACTTTGTGCGGCGAGGGTTTCGCCCAGTACGGGGCCCCCTCGCAGGACTGGCAGGCGCTGGTCAACGCGCCGGCCCCGCCGCCCGGGTCGTTTCAGGGTGGAGTCACGCCAGCCGGCGCTCTCCCGCCCTGGCCAGCTGCTGGCGACCGTCGGGCGGCGGAGGAGGTCTACCGAGGCCACGAGGAGGAGCAGCCAGACGCCGTGATGGAGGATGTAGAGGAGCAGGCTCGCCAGGTGAGGGCTCAGAGGCGCAAGGACTCGAGTCCGGCCCCTGCCAAGCGTCCCATGATCGAAGGGGCGGCGAGCTCGGACGATGCCGGCAACTCCGAGGAGACGCTCCAGATCCTCAGGAACCTCGCGGCCAAGCAGGAGGCACAGGACCGCGTGATTGCGGGCCTGCGGAGCACCATCTCGGGGCAGATGAACGCTTTGGCCACGATGCAGTCGCAGCTCCAGTCGAACTCGCAGCCAGGGGCGCCGCTGAAGCAGCAGCCCGAGTTCCCCCCGCAGCAGGTGCCGCCGCAGCCCACCTTGGCGCACCAGCTCAGCCCGCAGCCAGTCCCATTGGCGAGCGCTCCGGCGCGAGGGCCGGGACGCGGCGGGGCAGCAGCGGTGACGGGCCAGAGGGGCGAAGTCGGTCGCCAGGGGCCTCCAGGTCTACATCAGCCAGCAGGAGTTCCTCCCGGCGTGCCGCAGATGTCGATTGCCACGCCGCCCACGCAGGTCAGGCAGAGGATCGGGGTCGGCATGGCCCCCCAGGTCGCGGGCCTCCACGAGTGGGGGGTCGTCGGGGCGGCGCCCGTGACCCCCGCCTACCCGTCGTGCGGCCTGCCTCCTTCGCAGGCAGCGGCCGCAGCGGGCTGGTCGGTTCCGTGGCCGCCGCCAAAGGGGCATGCGGCGTCGCAGAGGGGCCTGCTGAAGAAGGACACCGCCAACCCGAGGGGCATCCGCGACAAGGAGGGTCAGCTGGTGTCTTCGTCCACCATCAGCAGCATAGCGACGTTTCCTTCTGTTCAGCCATCGCAGGAGCCGGCGCCAGCCGCGCCAGCGGGGCATCCCACGGCGACCGCTTGGCAGCAGGAGACTCCGCAGCCACAGGAGCGTCCTGGTCGCCCACAGAAAGCCTCAGGCGCGGCTTGGCAGCGGTCCGAGGACGAGCGCGCCTGGGAGGCCCAGGAGCACCAGAAGGACGTGGAGAAGCGCAGGCTGGCCCAGGAGGGCTGGACTCCGACGGGGTGGCAGGACTACCGCTACGACAAGCGACGCCAAGTGGAAGTGAGTAGGGCAGCGAAGCCACCTAGTACCAGTACCAGGATAGGGGATCCCAGCCACCCGAACGAATACACAATGGAAGCGGGGTCCCGGGAGTCCTTTACGAAGCTATGTTCGCTCTTCGAAGTCACCGAATTATAGGGGGGAGTCAGGATGATATCCGTTTCAGATGCCGGGAGCTCGACGACACCATCTTCGGCGATTTCAATTCCGACGACAGGGAAGTTCTTCTTCACAGACGGGAGAGAAAAATATATATGTCGATTCAGGGATCCCCAATAAAATCAAGAGTTTCAGGGCTCAGCTGAGGAGGCGAGCTTTTGCAGACGTGTTCTCGCCTCCAAGAATCACCGGGCACGCGGAGCATGCTGGCATCAGGGGTGTCGGCAGCTTCGATCAGGAGGGGGGATGGGACTTCAGAAAAGAGGATCACAGGCGCAAGCTTAGGACCCGCCTCCGAGAGGAAAAACCGTGGCTGGTGCCTCTTGAGCCTCCTTGTGACCAGTTCTCTATAGCCCAAATGGCCAGCTCCACCAATTGGTGGAGCTGGCCATTTTGGGCTATAGAGCTCACGGTCAAGGTCCGATATATAGCGTGTCTTTGGGGAGACGCCCATGCACGCTAAGTGTTCCGCACTTAGCGTGTATCCTTAGTGGTGGTACTTAGCGTGTATGTCCTTTCGGGGCTGGGGGAGGGATGATGATGGCAGGGAGAGGGATCATGCGGCCGCCGCGTTGGCAGAATGCTCGACGTTTGTACGAAAGTTCGTTGGTAGATTAGGTGTGCATGTTTAGTCTCATCGCCGGCTAATCTCGGTAGACTTTGAGCCGTAGTCCAAGTCCAAGTCCAAGAGAGGGATCATGCTGATGATGAGGAGGCTGATGAGGATGATTATGAGGAGGAGGACAATGATTGTTCTCCTGAGGAGGGATGAGAGACGTATGATGATAATGAGGAGAGAAGAGAAGAGATTTCTAGGAGAGAAGAGATTTCTAGGAGATCTCTTGGGAGCCTTTCGAGGCTCCATGAAGTTTTCTTGGAGGGAGAGGGTTCTGGGGGGGTTCTGGGAGGGTTCTGGGATCTGGGGAGGGTTCTGGAATCTGGGAGCCCTCGTGCGGGCAACTGATACCTACTAGGACCATCGTGGAGCCATCTTGAGGCCCTCTTGGAGCCATCTTAGGGCCGTCTTGGGGCCCTCCTGGGCCCTCTCGGGGCCCTGCTGGAGCTTTCTGAGGGCCCTAGAGAAGCGTCCAGGAGGGACTCCGTGAGACCCTTGTCCAACTCCGTCTGACGGAGTTGGAACTGATACTTGCTAGGACCATCTTGGAGCCATCTTGGGGCCCTCTTGGAGCCATCTTAGGGCCGTCTTGGGGCCCTCCTGGGCCCTCTCGGGGCCCTGCTGGAGCTTTCTGAGGGCCCTAGAGAAGCGTCCAGGAGGGACTCCGTGAGACCCTTGTCCAACTCCGTCTGACGGAGTTGGAACTGATACTTGCTAGGACCATCTTGGAGCCATCTTGGGGCCCTCTTGGAGCCATCTTAGGGCCGTCTTGGGGCCCTCCTGGGCCCTCTCGGGGCCCTGCTGGAGCTTTCTGAGGGCCCTAGAGAAGCGTCCAGGAGGGACTCCGTGAGACCCTTGTCCAACTCCGTCTGACGGAGTTGGAACTGATACTTGCTAGGACCATCTTGGAGCCATCTTGGGGCCCTCTTGGAGCCATCTTAGGGCCGTCTTGGGGCCCTCCTGGGCCCTCTCGGGGCCCTGCTGGAGCTTTCTGAGGGCCCTAGAGAAGCGTCCAGGAGGGACTCCGTGAGACCCTTGTCAACTCCGTCTGACGGAGTTGGAACTGATACTTGCTAGGGCCATCTTGGAGCCATCTTGGGGCCCTCTTGGAGCCATCTTAGGGCCGTCTTGGGGCCCTCCTGGGCCCTCTCGGGGCCCTGCTGGAGCTTTCTGAGGGCCCTAGAGAAGCGTCCAGGAGGGACTCCGTGAGACCCTTGTCCAACTCCGTCTGACGGAGTTGGAACTGATACTTGCTAGGACCATCTTGGAGCCATCTTGGGGCCCTCTTGGAGCCATCTTAGGGCCGTCTTGGGGCCCTCCTGGGCCCTCTCGGGGCCCTGCTGGAGCTTTCTGAGGGCCCTAGAGAAGCGTCCAGGAGGGACTCCGTGAGACCCTTGTCCAACTCCGTCTGACGGAGTTGGAACTGATACTTGCTAGGACCATCTTGGAGCCATCTTGGGGCCCTCTTGGAGCCATCTTAGGGCCGTCTTGGGGCCCTCCTGGGCCCTCTCGGGGCCCTGCTGGAGCTTTCTGAGGGCCCTAGAGAAGCGTCCAGGAGGGACTCCGT